AATGAAGAGGGCACTTTAAGTTGAGATATGTCTTGTTAGGGGGGGGGGGGGTGTACTGGACTGAATTTGGTCTGTAATCAACAAATATTTTGTTTTTTTTACTTCAATTTGAGATATATATATGTGCACTGGACTGAATTTGGTCTGCAACCAATATATGTTTACTTTCTTAAAGTAATATTGTTTCTATTGCTGGGGTGGGGGTGGGAATTACAGTCGACTCAACTTTTGATAGACAAGCCAAGTGGCTGACACCCAAAAGTGCCACCCTAATTTAGACCTAAAAAGCACTAAAAACTCAGCTCCTTTGTTATGAAATGAGTCTTAACTTTTGATGGGGTTGATTTGCTAATCATACTTGTGTCAAGTAAATTTAGATAAAGTGCTACAGAGCAGAAGAGTAGCTTTATTTAGAGGCAAATGTCAGTAAGTCTTTTAGCATTATTGCCCCTTTCTATGCTCAAGTTAAGAGAAATATGTTTTGAGCAAAACATGAGACAATGGAGTTGAATACAAATAAACTAATCAACTTCAGGAAATCTCCACCTGTCATATTTTATTCAGAAAACTGTGGTTACATTGAGTTTTTTGTTGATGCCAGTTTAAGTACAATAGAGACTGGGGCACTAATAGTTGTCAAACTTTGTCTGGTGTTAACAAATTACAAATACTAAATCAATGTAGCTTTAAGAATTTAATGACTTTAACGACTTTCAAAAGTTTCCTCAAATTTTATTTTGATGTTTAAAAAACTGTATGTTCGATATTTGTCACGCAATTTAGTGCACTCAGTAAAAGAGTCATCAAAGGCAGGGAAAGTAAACAGGAGTGGTGTATTTCAATTTTATAGGAAGTCCAATATTTGTATTGAGGTAATTCATCCTGGTAATCCTCCACTAATTGTTGCATATACCTGAAGTATTCTTGCAATCAGTGACACTTGTCCTCTTGAAGAGGCATTGTCAGTAAGAGGGGACAATTTTGTTCCCCCTTGATATTGTTTTATTGGTTGATATTTTGAAGTTTTACTGGAATACTCTTATATTTTATGTGTATTTGTGTTTTCAGAATAAAATCCACATGAAAAAATATTGAATTTAACTAATTGCCTTCGTTTAATATTTAGTAGATTTTGTTATGCATGTATTTTCCTTTTTACACATTAATGGCAATATTGTATTACAATATTCTATTGAATCTATTATTCCATATGTTGTTGTGTATTAATATCAATATACAAATAGGTAATATAGAGATATTATATATAATATATATAGGTTATTTACTGGGAGGGATTGAATATGGGTTTTATTCCGAGGGACAATATGATATTGACCGAAGGGTAATATGATATTGACCGAGGGAGCGCAGCGACCGAGTGTCAATATCATATTTCCCAAGGTCAATATCATATTTTCCGAGGAATAAAACCCATATTCAATCCCGACCAGAAATAACCTATTTATTCCATAATACATTCCTCCTTAAAATGTTACATTTTGATAATGCTTTTATCAATTAGTCAAGGTTAAAAATAACCGGGAAAACCAAAAATAGGTTAATACGTTCCAATACGATTTTTGTCCCGGGGACAATACGATTTTTCCATGTAATACGCTCCAATACGATTTTTTTCCCGGGGACAATACGATTTTTTCATGTAATACGATTCAATACGATTTTTATTCCTTCATATTTCCCTGGGAAAACAGTAGTATTATGGAATAAATATGCACTACATACAAAATAGCACATTATATTGATCTAAATATATAAGTTAGTTACTAGTATTTTTCCACAAAAAATTAATTGTATCATTTCATGTCTCATGCTATTTATTGTTTCCATTCATCCAAGTTATTTTCTGTTTCCAGATTAATTGCAAACAATTGTGTTGACCTTTTGGTATCTTGCATTATTCATTAGCTCTGACACAAAACTGAACACACAACTAATAGATTCATCAACCTTTTCATTACCCTGGGGCTAGTACCTGTAGTATTTACTGTCCTCTGTATAAGACGAACAAATACTTACGAGTAAAGAGGCATCTCACAATTACATTTCTGATTGGGTAGCTGAATCTTGTTTGATCAATTTGAATTACCAATAGCAGTTTCCAGTTTCTCCACCTGGTGGCTAATTTGGGTCTGGTATAACATGGCAGATATAGGAAAAATTACTTTAAACTTCATTATTCATTAGATTTATTGAATCAATTTTCATAAAACCTTTTTGAGTTTGACAATAATAAAATTTAAGATATTTTAATTATAATTAGTAATTTAAGAAAAGATATTTGACTTTTTGTGATTTTACAACATTTGGTCCAGGGGAATTTATCCGGCCTAGAGAGTACGTTTTCAAGTATAAGTGAAATTTCAAAGCTGATGAATAATTTTTAAAGCCACACTTCTTGATGCAATGTTGTATGTAAATTTTACATATGATGGGCTACTTTGACTAGATTTTGAATCCTAATGTAGAAAATCCTTTCTCCTTATGTATTTGCTGTATGTGGTATGAGTTAAAAGTGATTCGAAGAGATGATAGACATTTCACAACTTCAAAAAATGTTATGTTAAAAAAACTGTTTCCCTTTATCTAGTCTTTTATCAGGTCATTGTCTACCCCTAATCTCCTGCCAAACATACCTATCACATCTCCTGGGCACAGGAATAGCCAGAATAGAGAGGGGGGGGGCAGAGACTTAATCGATTCACATTCCTACTCTACCTTATTTTCTCTTTATAAGAAGCACACTTGGTAAAAAAATCTGATATTCAAATTTCAAAGTTGTGTGTTGATTTTTGAAATGAGATCAAATAAAATAGGTCGATATATCTTATGTAATCCTAGGTAAAGTCCATTGTAAGCTCTATAATATAATTAAGACTTCAGGTTGAAGTTTGAACGTGATTTACCCATTCATGAATCATAAGTATATTTGAGAGGTTTTAGCCCAGCAAAGAAAATATTGAGAGATTTGTCAAAAGCCAATAGTCCTGTAATAAAATATCATCTAGTGCTTGGTTATTTCTTTAATTTTCTCATTAATATTGAATGATTCTACACCATGTTTTTTTATGGGTTATTTAGGGGTTGCACTTCGTGACTGTTTCATGTTTTTCTTGCCTTTTACATTCTTGTCTATTTGGTGTTACATGAATAAATATGAGTGCTGTGTATATATGTGCAAGTAATGGCAAAAACCCAACAGGCGCTGTTTGAAATATTAACACACACGAAACATTGAAATTTGAATGTGTTGAAATCATTGGCTAAAATGATTTTATAAAAAAGATGACAGGAAATGTATAGTTAAAAAGAAACTCATTGAAGCAGTTCTTAGTGCAAATTGCACTTAAATTATATTTTACATGTATCTGTAGTGTTGTATGAAGCAGGGCATATACAGGGAATATCAAACGTGACTGAAAATAATTCACTGGCTGGAAATTATATATTAATTCAATGTAAGTAGCAAAAAGTTGAATATAAAACAATAATGGATAACTATAACTAATATTGTAAATGAGCAGAAGAAAAAAACAAGAATAAGTTACTGACCTATAAAACACAGATATATGATAAAAGTGTTAATGAACAAAATCTGTACTAAATATGTTAACAATCAGGAATTTCTATTCATGGCATAAATAGTCAAGACTGAAAATTTGAAATGTATATTGACTTGATTTTATTGGTATCGGCATTGGTATTAGTATTCATTGTTTTGGTATTAGTATTGACATTTGTATAAGTATTCATATCAGAGTGTGTTTCAGAATACCATTGACATTGGTATAAGTATTGGCATTGATATTGCTATTAATATTGGCATTGGTATGAGAATTCTATATGCCAGAATTGGCAATTACATAGGTATTGGCATTGGTATAAGTATTGGTATTAGCATTGGCATTAGTATTTGTATTGGTATCATAATTCACATTGGCATTGGTATTTTACATGTAAAAAAGTTCAATAAAAATAGGTAAGTAGAATAATTTTGAGATCACAATGACAGCGCATGGACATGTGCAGTGGCATATCATGTTCCAATATTTATTTTTACTCTTAATCTGTTTGGCAAATCACATACCTGTACAAGCTCAATTTGTGACTTAAGATGGTAAATATCATACCCTACACACAGACTCTAGTTATAAACTACCCTCTGCCTAGAATAGACTATATTACAGTTTAGCAGCCCCACCTTGAAGATGGGTGCCTGTGACAGAGTGGGTAATAAATAATTCCAAATCTACCACGCTGACCCTTTCTCAACCTCAGCGAAGTGGAAGGAACACTTGCTAAATACATGCTCATTAACTATGCGAGTATGTCAGAGGAAAGGACCATATAGAAAGTTGTCCATATTTCAACGACGAACTCTGATTGGCTCAGTGAGATCAGAGATTTATTGTAAACTGAAAGAGTGAATATGAAGCTCTCTTTTAAGAAGTGAAGTGGAACGAATGCAAAGGTATAAATATCATGACCTTATGATTAAGAGGATCAATGTATATGCATGTTTTGGCATAGAATGTGATGTTTGGGTTGACTGTTGATTAGTTTGCTCATGTACATTCAAGTCAAGATATTGAGGGGATTTCAGTCAACACAGGCACTGATTGATTACAGTAATTCATTATACATTTCACCTATAGAATGTTGAGAGAAAGTTGACTATTACCTTGCCTATTATATATTTCTTGAAAATTACTTGATATTTATGATTGGGGAAGAATTAGAGAGAAACATTAATTTTTCTGAAAAGTGAGATAAAAATGGAAAGCATGTGTGGTAGTTTCTCTACTCTTACCACTAACATTATGTTTTTAACTTACATGCAATCTTACTCAGGTAACATTTCACCTTTTACCATCTGGAAGCTTTGCAGCTTATGAAGAAAGGGTGAGTTGGGAGAAGATGGAGGCTGGTGCATTGTCATGATATACATCCTTTTATATCACTTTATTTCCATGTACTTTCAGCCCAATCAGCATCTCCACAATGTGATATCTTAGTCCGGAGAGGTGTATTGTGGTGTAAAGAACATGAAACTGGAGAATGTGTAAAGCATTCGAATAACCTTAGCCCAGTTACAAAATCGCCACCACCAGTTGCCATTCCCCAAGAATCAATCAGCCAATCACAAGATAGTCCTCTATCATCAACGACTTCAACTCTTAGTGATTTACCTGACATACAGCCAACAGTCTCTTCAGCACGAGCCAAATTTGAAAAGGCAACATCCTACAGCCCCCCACGGTCTACATCAAGTTCAGCCCCAAGTTCACCCAAAAAATCGGTGTTGGATCGATATCAGCCAGGCAAGCAGCCGAGGGACTCCCCGGAGGCAGTTACCATGGCAACACAGACAGAAGAACTCCCAGTTGTAAATGGGGAGGCCAATAATAATGAAACTAAGAATGCTGCCCCCGCACCCCCTCCTCCCCCTGCTCCTGCACCCCCAGGACCTCCACCAGGCCTGCTCCTACAGCTGAGGAACCATGACAATGAGTCTCGTCTATCCAGGTATGTAGTCATAGGGCATGTTGCGTTCTTGCCATAGAGTTTGTTGGCATAGGGCATGTTGGCATAAGGCCTGTTGTTATCATTTACTGGGAATTTCCATTTACTTGTGACTTTATTTTTTTAAACATATGGTTATGGTCTCCTGCTTTTTTGTGGAGCATGTTCGGTGGTTGGTGTTCAGCATTTAGTGGTTGGTGTTTGGTGGTGAGTATTTGCTGCTGTAACAATTGGCAGGTGGTGACATTTCAAAAGTTAATGGCTTGTATAATGATACATCCCTCTCGCCAATGTCACCTAGACCCCATTTGGCTTCTAAGGGGTTCACATTCATCTTGTGTGGAATATAATCTGATTCTAGGGGTTAAATGTGTAGCTATTCAGACTGTACCAGCTATCTTCACTTCGTTGATTCTTTTAAATGTCATAAATTCTTGCAATCATAAATAGATTATATTCTCATCAATACAAACTTGCTGCTCAACAAACAAATGACTTTAAATAATTGATGAGTGCATTTGTAGGTAGTTCATAGATCTTGCTATTCTCAATATATCAAATGTTTTCATCATGATACCTCTACCTCATTTCTCATGAACTTTCCCAATCAACCAACAAAGGAGGGAGTATGGTCAGTCAGAATGAAATCTTCTGTTTCTGATTGGACATTACTTGGCATACCATTAGTGTAGATCTCGAGGGCCATTTTTTAATTATTGTATATAGTATAGCTAGCAACTGAGTTAAAGGGTGTATAAGACAGGTATCAAATGGTCTAACCCCAACAAGGAAGTTTTGGAGACTGATTTGCTTTATTTAAACAATGCTACAACTGAGGTCACAAGTTATGAGATACGTTTTTTACCCTGCGTGCAGAGTCTAGTTAAACTACACTCTGCCTAGTAGAGACCATATTACAGTTTAGTATCCCCGCCCCCACGACGGGTACCGGTGACAGTTTGCGTAATAAATAACTTTTGACCTACTCGCTGACATTTCTTCCACCAATCAGCGAGCTTGAAGAAACACACGCCAAATGCGTTCTAATTAAATATGCGCATGTCATTGGTCAATTCCGGGCTCAACGATGACGTAAGAAGGAATTACCATATATAGAACGTCGGTCAATTTTGGCCGACGAACACTGATTGGCGCGGTGAGTTCAAAGGTTTATTTTAGTTTGAAAGAGTGAAGACGAAGCTCTCTTTTAAGAAGTGAAGTCAAACGAATGCAAAGGGTATACGTTTTTTGACACTAAAATGTCAAGGCGCCTGAATCATTGAATTTCTGCTCAAAAATCACTGTCACTGCACATGTTACTGTACTCATTTCTTTATTCTCTTTCTTTAATATTGAAATCATGCCTAATATTTTCTCTTTATTGCATTCACTGTTGTATAAGTCATTTACACAGTTGAACATTGCCTTTCATATAGCTCTGACATTAAAAGCACCTGTTGCCTATAAGGTTCTATAATACCCAGTAGCATAACAACCTGCAAATGTATCATTTGTTTCATTGCCTTATTTGATTAAACATGATTGAACTTTGATGAAATCAGTGTATCTATTTCTCGGCATGCAAAGGTTTTATTAGCAGCAGGCTACAAGCAGTTATATTTGGTTGTGTTTTACAAAAATGGCATGTTAAGTTTTAGGAGTACTGCCATAGTTTTAGTATTAAATTATATTTTTCAATAATTTGGCCAGTTGACAGAAATTCTAATAAAACCCTTAATTATGCCAAATGATACAATAAAATAATCCTTTTACCATTTCAGGCCAAACAGTTTTTCAAGTGTGGATTCAGCCAAACAAGGAGGTGGATGGAATTCTAAACGGTCTAGCTTAAGCAGCGGAGCAACCTCACCTAATCCTGCAAGCTTCGACTTAATCGCAGAGCTTAAGGCATCAAAAGGGGCAGGATCTCTAAAGCGAGCTCAAAAAATTGGTCAACCGGGAATGCTGTCTTTTTCATCGAGCTCAAGTGAGGCTAGTGGGCCAACCAGTAATGATGTTTCTGCATCTAGTAGGAATAATGATGTTATTGAATCTAAGCCTTTATCAAACGGAACAGTTTCTCCAAGGCCTGTACAAAATGGGACAGTCGTAAATGTGAAGGACAATGAGCCTAATACTACACAGACAAGTGGACTTAAAACAACCATAGCTGTGTCATCTAGTAAACCTACCCCCTCTGCAGGCAGTGGGAGTGATAAGGCAAGTGGTTATGTTATATATAAAGGAACTCCAAGCTATTTTCAAATTGTTTTTCTCACAAATCTACTTTAACAATGAGAGGCTCAGATCCCCCTCCCTCCGCCTCACATGGTAAGTATAAAAAATATACCTTAATTTTAGGCCCAAATTTGAATGTATAAGTGGATGTTCCTTCTAAGATAAACATGATGATTTCTGAGTATACCATATAACTGGTATACAAATCTTCTTGTTTAATTATACAAAAAAATGATTGAAGGTATTTGATTGTAGACAATTACAAAGGTTCCTCAGACAAACACAAAGCCTCCTCCCCCAGGTAGCTTCAATGCAAGGGATTTCTTGGACCAGGTGCCCACAGTTGATGCAGGAGGTAAAGAGATCCCAGCATGGAAGAGGCAAATGATGGCCAAAACAATGGCAGAGAAGGCCAAGGTAGAGGCTGAAGTCAGAAAAAAGGTGAGAATTTCCTTGGGTTGAACTTCATTATTGAGGTTAACACTAGTCTTGTGCACTTGTTTAGTGTACAAGGATTTGTACAAAACTATTTTGATGCAAGCGATGCTTTATCTCCTACCAGGCTGCTGTGGAGTATACTTGCAAAAGTGGCCTTTCACTGACCTGATGTTGATTAGAGACTAAAAATGGTTCAGTGGGATTGTGGATCTTACTCTGTTTTGCATGCTTCAGAATGTCAAAATGGTCATGCCTGCTCTGGGTCATATGTATATCTGTGTTTATAACCTTAGAAGGAGTTTTTGACTTTGTCTCACACACTTTAATAGCTCTTTATCTTAACAAGTAGGAGTCAATCAGAACTATTCATTGCAGAGCCACAATTTTTCTTATATATGATCTCCATTGATTTTATATCATATTTTCAAAGCTCAAAATGTCAAAAAATGAAATCTATTTCTTTCAAAAACTCTACATACTTCAAACTATTCTGAACAGTATGTAACAATTATAATATGTAAATCCCAGTCCAACACTTGATTCAAAACATGTACTGGGGTACAAGTTGTCTTGGGTACGAGTTGTCTTGGGTATGACTTGTCTTGGGAATGATTTGAACAGTTACCAATAAATATATAAGAGTGGCTCTGATTGGTTTTATAATGTCAGCATGGTACAGTTGAGTGATTTATAGCTGAATCACTGATGAGTGAGGGGGGGGGGGGCTGCATGACCATTTAGGCATTTTATCTTTGTTATTTTAACCTAACAATAGGGTCTGTATCAGGCACATATAAGCACATGAAATTCAGGATTCTGGAGGCATCTGCCTAACCTATATTTGTGAAAGTGAAACACCTCTGTCAGTGGAACACTATTCCGTGTTCCAAGACCAACTGACTCAATGTTAAATGAACCCTTTTAAGGGGAACACCTCACAAGTGGAACATTTTTAAAGGTACCAAAGGTGTTCCACTTAGAAAGGTTTTACTAGACCAATGTAGACCAATCACCACTGAAGAACTAGTAATGATTTAGAGTTACAATAATGTAATCTACTTCTAATGATTTAATTCTTTGCAAACATAATTGTTAAACTAAATACAACAAACTTTTTTGTCTTTGATACCGTTGAAGCCAGTTTATCTATCTTACTACATCAAACTTCAATAAAGCTAGTAACCCTTACTCCTCTGATTTGACTACCTTAAAGCACACTAACATTTTGCAGCTTTCTGATTATTAACATATTGGCTTTCTAATTCTAATATCTGCTTTCTAATCCTAACCAGCAAGAGGAGGAGGAAAATAAGTACAAAGGAGTGCCAGCCTGGAAGAGGGCAATTTTGGAGAAAAAGGAGGCTGAAGCAAGGTGAAGTAACAGGAGGTTCAAATACTCCAAGTTTTATGCCTTATCAAATAAGGGAGGTATAAACTTCCCAGATGCATTTCTACCTTTAATGTTCAAAAATGCATGAACTTCTGTACAAAACTTTCATTTGCCAAAACTGCACATTAAAAAGCATAGAACAGAGAGAAACAGTTGTGAGCTATGAAAAAACGTTTTCTCTCATTATATATCTGATAGAAATAATAGGTTCAACATTTAGGATTTTATTTCAATTTTAATGATTTTGACATTTCTGTATCTTCAATCTCCAATGACTTTTATATATTATTATATATGATTAGACATTTCAATTCTTTTTTTTCACAGATAAAATGAGGATTGCAAAGGGAACACTGGCATGGTTTTTAAAAAGATTGCTTTCAAGATTTTTCATCTGTCCCTTATAATTCAATCAAAATGAGTGGATGTACAGCTGACACTAACGTCAATATTTTTTCATTTTGTCATTGGTGTTCTGATATAAGTCTGATTTTTTGAAATAGAATTGTACTTCTACTTCTACTAAATAAAATAAATATATTCCAATACATCGCATCAGCAGAAACACTTTAGGTGACATCTATTTTTATTACATTTAATTATTTGTTGTTCAGGTAACTTTTCAGTAGCAGTTTCTATTCATCATTTTAAACATGCTAAACATTAGAGCTACCTGCAGCCTAAGGCATAACATTTTACAAAATTAAAATTAAAAATTTGTTTTAATATTACAATGGAATTTTATAAGGAATATGTCAAAATCAAAAATGTCTTGTAAAAAGTGGAAAAACAATCATTACTAGAACAGAAATATGGCAGGGAGAATCATCATGATAAATGATGCCATCTCAAATCTTCTCAGGTGAAACAGAAAGATGCTATGAGTATCAGAATGGGGAGAATAAATAAAATAATTTGCTAATAATTCACCTCTTTGATTCTTGTACCATTGGTACATTGCTTTGTCTTAAAATGTTCCTTACATCAGTTATCACTGTTTCATTTTTTAAATAAAGCATTTTCTTTTATTACTTCAACCATTTTTCCTTAAAGCTTTAAGAGACTGTATTATCTCAAATACAAGATTACAGAATTTTTGTGTTTGCACATTAGATACATCAATAATCATATAGTTAATTTATTGTTTTTTGTTTATTGTAATTGTTCGTTAAAGCTATCTGTGTTTAATCAAGTTTTCACTTTGTTTTCAGGTTAGCAAGTGAACAAGCTTTAAAGGCAAATAAAGACCAGACACAAAGTGTCAAACCTAAGATGGGAGGACGTACTGCATTATGGGAAAAATAAATGTCTCCAAGGAAACGCTTAAAACAAAGTTAATTCAAACATGTGACTAATAGATGTTGAATCAAACTTGTACTCCATCAGGAAGGAGAAAAATCAAATCCTTTGAATCAGATGGCAGTGAAACTTTTCAAACTTCATCTTTCATCATGTGACTCTTACATTGAGCTGAATGAAGACTTTAAGTTGTATCACATGATCGAGATGGAGATAATGGAGACTTATGAACATAAACATCCACTAAAACTAGTGTATAATTCATTGCCACATGATTTGTGTCAGGCCAATTTCTTTCCATATGTCAATGGGGCTGTATACAATAATGGGAGCAATGACAATACAATCATGGGCTAGAAAGGCAATAGAAAAATGGAATCCAAACTTGGAGGATTTCAACATTTGATGGAAAAGAGTCTCTAAATAATATGAATGAACTAGTAAAGCAGATGCTTTTAGTGGAGAATATCATATTATTACCTGGTACATACATGTAATGAGACATTGAAATATCAGAATTTAGTATTGAGACACATCACTAAAGGTCAATAATCATAGCATAGACATGGACTATTAAATCTGAAAAGCCCAAATGATTAATTGACCTGAACATCTTTGCCAATCACTTAAAATCCATAGTTGAATTTAAGCTGAACTTTGAACAGTGAACACGCTTTATGTCATACATATAATAGGGTGAAGTCTTATCATATCTTTAGCAAGCCCAGTGCTGGCTGATTAGCAAATCAATATTGTTGAAGATAGTCTTGCTCCAAGCCTTCAAACCCAATTCTGGAAGGGAATCAGATATTGGGGGGGGATATACAGATGCAGGACTATCCATAAGAAGGTAGTTTTACATGACACAACATTGTGTATATTGTTCATTGTGCATAAATTAAGGAATCATATTGATGTTTTGAAAAGATGGTAGCAAGTTCAAAAATATTTTATACTTCCTCTTACAAATATTATACTGCATATATGTTTTCTGCATGGCAGGATTTCAAGTAAAATTCTTAGAAATTTTGCCATGGTACCCTACTGAGATCTCAAATTTTAAATTGTATGTTGTACACAGTAAACATTAGCTTAAAACTTCAAAAGATCATTCAATTCTCCATTTCGCTGTTCGCTCTTTGAATCAGAACGTTCGCATATATGGTGCATATATGTACTCAAAAAGGACAAAATTTGATTGGTCAATATTTTTCAACGATGCATTTCGTGTAGCTATTTGTGAGACCCGAAAGTTCTAAATCAAATTAATTACGCAATTTTGTTTTTACACCCGCAAGCTAAATAAAAAAATGACACCATCGGAATTCTTCTTCTTTGTCATTGAATTAATAGTCAGTATACCAGATTTAATCAATAAAAGATTATACAATTAACAACAAAATTCGGAAACGAGTATGTAAGATTTGCTTTCGAACCACTAAACTTGACCTAGATAATAGCGACGTGTCTTCTTTGGTCAAATGCTCAGTTGTTTGTGGGTTTTCAACGTAACTCTATAATGTAATATGAAGATGAGTACTTTTATTCAGTTGTTGCATCGATGTTACAGTTTGTAGTGCGGTAATATTGGCATGAACGTGTTGAAAGTCGAATGGAATTGCTTTTTCCAATATGGCGACTAGTCACGTGACTTCTTCTCTTCCGGAATATACTCCCATTTTCAATCATTGTTTTCACCCCGTTAGGAGCCAATAAAATGAAAAAAAATATATGTTATATAAAGATTATTAAAAGACTAATTGTTTCTGATAGTTTGTTTTCTCCGATCGCATGGAGATTCGATCGAAAATATCGCTTGAAAAATGGGTATGAAAATCCCCATGTTAAACCAACGGGAAAAAACAAGGTAGAAAAATTTTGTTCCCCCGCGAACTGCATCATGGGAAATATTTTGACCTTATAAGGAAAAACTTTCGCGCCATCTTTATTAGAGATTCAATACTACCGAATCCGCGATTTTAAGAATTACTCATTCATTCATTACCTTTTTGTGAACATACACGTTGTATCAGAGTACAAAATGTTTTCATGTGATTTGTTTGTACAATGTCATTGTGAACTGTGAATGATAAGCGTTTCTTTCATTTGTAGTATAAAGACATTGGGAGTAAGTCACCCCTCCCTCTTATATTCTTTATATTTGATATGCAATACTAAATATTACTCATCTGCATAAAGATGGCTGAAGCTATAGTTATTCGAGAAATTGATTCTAGAACGTAATCACGGGGAGTTAGTCACCCCTCCTCCAATATACAGAATATAAGAGGGAGGGGTGACTTACTCCCCATGAGCGTTATCAGGTACAGAATTGGCAAAATTGTGGAGGTTCACACCACTAAACTAAGCATAATTGCTGTAATGTCTTTCCGAGACTAACAGAATAGAATCTGCAATTTAGGAGTTGAAATTAGCAAAAGATAGTACGAGTCTTCTTTACATGTATTTTAAAATGATTTTGTAAGTATGCTTATCCCAGCATGAAGTGACTTTAAAATGTAGAAAAATTATTTAAGAAAAATCTTTGCATGGCATTAAACCAGGATGTTGTCTTGATTATTAATTCCATCACATGCATTGGATGATATATGGGGCCAAGAATAAAGCAATGAGCTGTACAGTTGTAAATAGGAAATCAAAATAAATGGAATATCAACAAAAAGGTAAAAAGTTCAACCTTCAATTTATAGTTTTTTAAACGTATTCAGGATATAAAATATAATTGGATACGAGCTGGTTGTATTCCCTTCTTACATTGAACAATTCTAGTGTTTGTATTTATATAACTTTTGTTTTTATGATGTAGATATCAGTGTTATTGACACACTGACTCAAATGATTAAAAAAAACATTTGAAAAAGATTGCTATTGACAGGTATGAGTTTTTGAATGCATATTTCCTTTAGATTGTAAAATCCTGCCCTGGATTTCATTCAAATCCAATTTAAGTGTTGTAACTTGACACCATTTATAAAATTAAAACAAAACTACACAGTTACACCTGTTTGTTCAAACACCTCTCTAATATGAACACTTTTGTTGGTCCCATTTTTAACCTCCTATTGACTTGGTTGGTCTAAGTGGTGTATGGATTAGACAGGTTTTACTGTACTGTTCTAATTTAGAGTTTTATTTTTTATCATAACATTCCCCTGTTTTTTATTAATAATACTTCACAAACTACATGTACCATACGTTTGTCTAGTTGCTAATTGTATGTTATGTGCACTTTAAAGTATTATAGTGTAAGATATTCATCAAAAATCATCAAAATTGTCATCAGACAAGGATATCAATAGAGAAAAGATATAGATTTACAGAGAAAATATATTTTGTAACAGTGGAGTAAAATAATTGTATCTATGTAATAAACATGCAATCATATCCAGACAAATATTCCTTGTTCACTTTTACCCATTCAAAAACATCTATCCCCTTGTGCTTGAGAAATAAGAGGGAAATAACTTGATTAAAATTCCAGTTTACCAATCTTAACTGGAATTCAGTGAATATCACCCCTAACTTATGAGCCTGTGTCTTTTGAGTGTTTTTTGAAGCAGAATAATACCAAACTGCCATCTATTCCATTAAATATTTTTGTGACATTATGGAGACTCGGAGGACATAAAGAAATAATATTAATTTAAGTATAATGGCTCAATGATCTGTGGATGATCTAATACACTCATGCCTTGTACTCTATCCTTTTAACTCTGGCTCTCATTGAAAGTCTAATACAAGACATCCGTGCTTGTGCTTAAAATCGTTCACAACGTTATAAATCATCCTCCGATCACAAGAGCTTCAAAATTCAGAATATTCTTTCTTTAAACCCCGGGGAAGGAGGTACGGATTCTGGATATCTGCTTAGGAAGATGTTATAAATGGGAGGGGGACTTGATACACTAGCGACTGGCGAATAAGATCCTATTTCCAGATAAGGACATGTTCTTTGTCACTCAAATAATTTCTCATTTTACCTAAGTTTATATTCATTCCATTGTTATTGACAGAAAACGTGCAATGACAATTAGGACAATCCCAAATGTAGTTGCAGGCGATTTCCCATACGTTGTTAAAACACAAATGCTAACAATGACAAAGTTATGTTGAAGTGTTCGTTTTACATTTATTTCATCATTAATTGTCAATAATAATTTATTTTATTATTTGTGAAAGGTTGTATCATTTCATTTAGTAATGTCAGACTGGCAGAGTTCTGTTTATTTATAACCAAAATCTATGTCATCGCGATCTCATTGATTTAAATGTTGATGTCTACCCAAAATTATTCTATTTTACACACAGTTCATTCACAGATGATCAGATGTAGTGTCTGGATTTTCTTGTATTTGACTATCCTGCCGACAACTCTATCAATATCTATTTTCAGTCATTTCTTTTTAACTACAAAGCGTTACCAGTGTATGACGATGTCATATCATTCACAATGATTCTTCACAGAAGATGAATGATTATATTATATACACAGTATACGATCATATTCCATTTCTTATTATAGGTCATCTAGACCCTCAGTGATGTCTTTGCCAGCAAAGGTGTGTAAAGCAAACACAAAGTCAGTCCTTTGATTGATCACCATGTTCAATAAACCTGTTACAACAAATAACAGTTTAGTCTTTATTCAAACAGATAGTTGGCAGAGATTTGATATGGTATGATGTTATATTAAAAAGAGGATTACGGAGTGTGAATTATTACATGGTGTGATATGAATAAAATGTACGTAGGGAGCCCGTAATGATTTTTCATGCATAATTTACAATTTTAGAAAGCAAATACTGCATGGAAAAGTGGAATGTTGAATTCATACAGGGAGTGTTCCTCATGAATTTATATGATACATTTGAATTTTAATAAATATCTGAATGATTTTATCCAAGTAAAGTCATTCCCGAATTCCTTAAGCATTCTAAATTCTTGTACAACCATAGTCGTCCAATATACGCTGTAGGTGACCCTGTGATTTCGTGATTTGGGATTTTCTGATTTGCAATCATACTCGGCAGGTCCGCGACATCGCATATCATAGCACGACTGTACTGCATCTAAATGATCGCTTGTCAAGAATTTGTTGATCCTGTTGGGCGTTTCTTACCATTAAGAGTGGGGCTATTGTTCTTTTTGTCTATGATACTATCAAATCGTTTTGGAGGGACGGGCGGAGGGTCAGACGATGACGTTGAATACGGTAAATCAATCTCTTGGGACTTTTTTGCAGGATCAACAGGTTCATCCTTGACAAATGATAGAGATCTACCCTTAGGATTTGGATCACTGAAATGGTAAACTTTTTTACCGCCGTTGTCATCTTCGTTAGTTTTTTGCGTTTGAAATTGATCCAAACTCTCGTAGGCCGGTTCTTCCCACCAGTCCGTATAGTCCTTAGAGGCACCCTCAGCCCTTGGCCTCGGGGGCAAGGGACCTCCCTCTCTTACGT